GCTTTTAATCGATTTGGGCCAAAGAAATTCCTCATGGTATCTTTTTAGTTCCATTGCATTCTCCTACTGCATTCGATTCCATAGAAGTCATTCCACACCGTTTGGTGAGGAATGACAGCTAGTTTCATAACTGAACCATTTCTCTCTGAATAGCAGTCGACAGCTGGACCACTGTTATTGCAGATCGCTTAGAGTCAATGTTAAAATGTTTCGTGATACATGAACTGCAGTAACGTGGCGTTTTAGATACTACGATTTTATGCAGGGCTAGGCCCCACCTCACATGTATAACGCACAGTTACGTAGGCAACATTTCACGATTGAATGTCTTATAAGCCGAAACTTTCCCTCTTCCCACCAGACCTCAACCTCTGTTACTTTTAGATATCGGGTTAATTCAAAAGCACTGTTTATGATGATAATCTAAACAATTTGGCAGAAATGAAAAATGTGATACACCGATATGTCCGTAACATTCCTCCTGATATGCTAAGAGCTGCTGTCGAGAATGCAGTAACAGGATTTAACTTGCTTTCGGAAAACACTGGACGCTACATTGAACATGCTTTGTAACACGTTTCGGAAACGATTAAACACATTTTAAACCGATGTTTCATGTCTTATTTCATTTAGCAATATTGCATACAGCGCCATTTTTTTCCTGGTGGTGAGTTTTTGAACTCTTTTTTTTTTCCCGCGAAAAATAAATTCCCATAACCTCCTTCACACGATTCCCAAGTGTGATAATATTTGGTCCGGTAGTTTTCCTTTTATGACCATTTCAAAGTGGAACTTTAATTATAACCACCATATAAATTAAACTTTATAAGTCTGACAGTTTGGTTCAAGTCCCAACTTTAAAAAAAATGTATATATATAAAAATATTTATATTAATCCTCTTAGAAAAATGTTTTAAGAAGCTAATTTTTCTCTCGCGTTATAGATTGTATTAAAAATTATATATTTAATATGATTTAGATTGTTTCTGTCGATATAAGAATTCGGTTACTCGGTGGTACAGAATAAACACTGCTGGACTGTTTTATTTCTTTGTCATTTAGCAAAAAATCTTTTAATTAAAATATTTATCCTTTGGACTTCGCTTTAAACTTTATTTATAGTTAAAATGACTAGAAAATGAAAAGCTGTCTTCAGCTGAAACGCAATTCATGTAATTGATATTTTAAAAATATTGACAAGAATGCAAAATTTATTGAAGTCTAGCAATCGAAAAATCTTAATTTTCTTGTGTGAGCACTGAAAATAACTGTAGAATTAAAGAAGAAAATTAGGGAGAAAAGTAAGCAAAAATTTGCAGGGAAATTTGGCTGTCAGATATACCAAGATGTTTAAAAAAATTGGACGCTTTTGAAGATACTTTCAGTATACTTCAAAGAATTTAGGTGTTCAAAGAGAAAACACTTGGACGTTTACACCAGCAAATATCATCAATTGAGCTTGTGTTAACAGAAAAGAGAAAAACGATATCATTGCAGACCTTTTTTTTTCCTCCTGATGAAACAGCGGCCGAGCGTAGTTCGGTCCGAGGTTCGAGGTCCGAGGTTCGAATCCCGCGAACGGGCTAGCTTCATGGGCGTTTTCGTGGTTTTTCCCATGTGTAACATGTATACGAGCCAGTTTCCCTTAGAAAGTCCTCCATGAAGGCATCCCTCGCCCTAGGCAGATAGCCCCAGTGTGCTTTGTCATAATTAAATAAACCAAAACCTCTTGATGAAACCAGTCTTTCCTTCTATGTCATACCTTCAACCTCTAAAGACTGTTAAAGGCTCCGTTGAAATGGTTTGATTTGGGTTATTAAGTTACGGCAAAGCAGGGCTATCTGCCTAAAAGGAAGGATGCCTTCGTGGAGAAATTTCTAAGGGAAATCAGCTGGCATACACGTGACACATGAGAAAATCCACGAAAACGCCCATGCAACCAGCCCGTTTACCGGGATTCGAACCCCGGAGTTAACTACCAGTATTCAGCGACTTTATCTCTCAGCCGTTTGTGAGCCTTTCTGAAATGGAAGGCGACAACTTTATTTAAAGTGATTGTCAGAAATACCAAGTTTTTTCGAAACGTTGGATGCTTTTTAATATACTACCAGAATGTCTAAAGAAAAAGAGCAAGAATGAAGCAGAATGCCTGAAGAAAAAGAGAAGAAAAATAAATTTTTGCATAAAATTTTGTAATTGTACTTTTTTTTAATTTAAATCTTTTTAATCTTATGATATTTGATTCTTGCGATTTAAAAAATAAAATATTTGACTAAAATATGAATAACATTTTAAGAAACCAAATGTAGGATAAAATTGTGTAAAGCAGGGCACAATGATAAAACTGTTTAAAGCAGAGTATGCAAGTCATCCTAAGTTAAAATGTAGGTTATACATCTCTCTTATTTATATATATATTTTCTGAACGGAACATTGAAAGGCGTGTTCAATGTGCTTTACTGTATTTTCTCTTTTAATATATGCAGTTTTCAAATGTATCGTAGTCTGAGTTACAAAGTATTCTTCCGAAAGAAACACAATTCAAATAAATAAAATCAAATTCTGGAAAATTTATATTAATAAATATATTTAAAATGCTCAATTCGAATGAATAAATAGAAAATTTTAAAATAATTATCTGAAGAGACAATGCAACACTAAGAATTAAAATAAAATTATAAAAATTAAAAAATTACTTAAAATAGTAACTATGACTAAAAATATAGTATAAAGAAAACTATTTGAAAAAAATATAAACGATGCGCCTTTAATTTAAACTACGCAGTTCGAATAAGTAAATAGAAATTTTTAAAACACTTATTCGAAAGAAACTATGCAATGTAAATAATTAAAATAAATTCGAAAAAGAAAGAATTGCTTAAAATTAATAACAATTATAATTAAAAATATAAGATAAAGAAAATTTTTTGAAAGAAGGAACGATTGAACCTTTTTTTCCTCTCACGCACTATGTAAAAATGGAAATGAAAATAGGTTGCCACATATTAAGAAGTTCGCCAAGTGACTAATTTTGGCGCAAACTGAATGAAAAGCGCCAACATAAATTGTTGAATTTCTCCATAAATTTCTCACCAAATTTTACAAAATTTAATATTTAGGCATAATTTGAGTCGTAGAATCGAAATATATAAAAACATTGGTATGTTATTTCAGAAAAAGTCCGATTTTGTGTCAAAACACTTATGTTAGAATAGTGCTATATATAAATCTAATACTATATGTCCTAAGTCACGCTTTCGAGACAATTTGATTTTCATGAATCGGCTCAGTAGAACGGGAGATATAGAATTGTCCCATTTTTTTTAGCAGTGTACATCAGGCTGTTTGAAAAATTTGATGCAAAAGGTTGGATTACGGACAACTCATCCCCCCGCGTTTTAAAGTAAGAGATGATCCTCCCTAAAGCACACAGCCACAAGTGGCTTAAAAGAATTATTTAGCCTCTAGCAACTTTATTTGCTTTTGTTCACATTAGCTGAACAAACCAAGAGCATTATGCATAAAAACGTACATTTGCATACCTAACAATATTTAAGAGAGGCAAAATTTCATATCAGTCACTGCACTTGAATCACTGCTAAGGATAGGTTCTGCAATGGTCCTTCAAACTACTAGCAATACCTGAAGTAGTACTAATACTGGAACCAATACCAAGAACTGGTCAATTCTGCATTGGAAAATCGAGAGTTACAATGTTTTAAGGACAAATAACTGCAATGTCTAAAGGAAGATAGTCTTTTGCGATAAAGTGCATTAACAATTTAGCAGGTACGTGATGAAAGAAAATTGTTGGATTTAAGGCATTGAATGCTTCAGGAGAAATTAATACATGCATAGCGAACCACTTTTGGTAAGGAGTTTCGATTGGCGGACTCATGCAAGCAAGAACGTGTCAGCATAATCGCGGGCGGACGATGCCTCTTGGAAACTGTGTTTCATGTATCATAGCAATGGATAAACTTAGAATGGAAGTAAAAATATTAGCAATATTTTCATATAAATAATAGGTTTTTATTGGAAAATTAGGTCTTGTATTCTTGTTGGGATACCTTGCATTAGTTGTAACACATCACATACCTATAGCATTCCTCCTGTATTTTAGGGTATTGTAAGGTTAGTAGCTGAAAGATTTGTTTATTTTATAACCGATGAGGGTGCAGATGTGTTTTAGGTTTTAATCCGGAAATATCCAACAGGTCTTACATTTAGAAACGAGTGTAGTTAGCAAATGCATAAAACAATTATTGTATTATAGACAAATATTTAACAAATGTTTTGAAAATTGAATATGATTATCTTAACTACACTATATATGCAATATGTTCAACTGAGGGCACATCAAAGGACAATGCGCAAATTTTGATTAGTAATGAATTGGATTGTACTGGATTAGATTATGGCAAAGCACAATAGGATTGTCTGCCTAAGAGAAGAGATGCTTTCGTGGAAAAGTTTCTAAGAAAACTCGTGTTAAAGGTTAAATGCTTATAAGAGAAATTCTTCTCAAACGTATTCGTGTTACACATGAGGAAAACCGCAAAAATTCTTAAACAATCAAGAACCCAGATCAAATTATCAAAAGTCTTATTCGCTCTGACGGTCGTGCATGCAACCGAAAAGATAAGTTTCGCAGAGGTATAAAACTAAACCGTGTTTGCAAAGTTCTATTATTTTGAACAAATTTAATCTTTTAACAATTCAAACTTTTTCTTGTCGTTGTTATAACTATTAACAGTTCCCTGTTTCCAAATGATCCATTCGCTATAGAACCGATTACAGTACAGAAATTCTTATAAAGAACAGAAGTAAAATGCGGAACAATGTTATCACAATTAGTAATTACTCTATTTTTAAATTTAACGACAGCTATTTTTTATGTTCCGAATATTTTTCCCATCTTCGCTGATGAGAATTTCATATGAAATGAATACTAAAATTAGTATCAGGATAAAAGAGAAATTTCCGAACATGATAATTACCTGGAATTCATCGAGACATGTCTTCCAGTCCAGGATATCTTCTGAAAATTATATTTAATTAATCCACAGCGTCTTTGATAAATTAGTATTTAAAAACCTGTTACAACTCAGTGAATGTTCAGTTTAGTCATCCTTTTCGATCTGATGGTAGGCAAAGCTGTAAGGAGATAGAAATTTACGTTATCCATACTTCTTCATGGACTAAAATTAATACACAATATATGTACACTTGTGTTTTTTATCTCCAAAATCATAATTTTTTTTTTTTTTTTTTTTTTTTTTTTTTTTTTTATCAGAACCAGTTTTTTCTTATTTCTCCTTGTAAACGTTAAACCTGCATACTGAACAAATTTCCCTTTTTCAGCGATTTAAAAACTCTTAAAGTATTTGCTGCAATCATCTTAAAAGTATTTACTGCAAATTAAAAGATTTATTGTAATCATTAACAGGGAATTATTTTTAACTTAGCTGGTACTTTTTTAATCAGTCAAATTCTAGTAATGTAATGGAGTCATCATTTTGTGTATGATTGCCATTTAAATAGATGGCAATAAGGTACTTTACATTCAAAAATATTCTTCGTTAAGTAGCACGCTTTTAAATTTTGAAACCAAAATTATTCTGCATTTGAGCTGTTTGCTGAAATTGAAAGTTGATTTTTGAAAAAGACCAAGTAAAAATTCGAGGTAATAATTTAGTTAAAACAAGATTATTTTGCAGATTCTTTTTGCATAAATTTTGCTAGAAAGCGTTATTAAAATTATTTAAATACAAGAAAGCAATTTAATTATTAGAATGGAAATAAAAATATAGTATCAAAATAAATATTAAAAAAAAAACCCACCTCTACAACTAAACTTATTTTTTGCTTCCAAATGCAGCATCTATAGTACAGCTCAACGACTTGGGCATTATCGAGAGTTTTCAATTTGTCTACTTTAAGAAACTGGTTAAAAATTTACTAGTAATGTACATGATAAGAATGATATCAAAATTGCGGAACTAAGAGGCTATACAAACTATAGATTCTGCTTGGGTTTCTGTCATAGAAACAGCACAACTAACTGCCTTCCACATGGAAGGTTTTCCTTCGACTCCATGTACTGTGAGTAATTTAAACAATTTTTTAAGAATTAGACTTTTAAACAATTTGTGATAGTGGATAATGATCTTGATGCTAATAAACGAAGAAGAAAGTTTTAGTATAAAACTTTCTTTCAGTTGTAACTCTTGTTATTAAGAAAGAGCTCAGATGAACTTGGAACTTGTAATGATTTGACATCAAATTTTCGATCTGTAAAAACACTTTGGAAGTCATGCATACAGTTTATTGATTTCTCAGAGCTCAAGATGCCACACAAGCAGCCTTAAAACAATAAAGAAGTGCCGAAGATAGTTTATATCCATTGAAGACAAAATCGAAGCAAACTACGAATGACAGCATTTTAAAATATGTTTAGAAATAATATTTATCGTTAACAAGTGCAAACATATTTAATACCTTTCGCAGTAAGTATTAATTCACTATTTAATTTGTTATAAATAAAAGAAATTAAAATGGGCAATAAAACGAGAATTAATTAGCATACTGTATTTTAAATCTTTGAATATTTATATTAAATTGCTCAAAACTTTTCTTAAAACACTTCTGTGTATCTCTATTCATTCTGCATGAACTGCTTATTTTATGGTTTGGGGATATACGGAGATTATTCTTATAGTTTTAAAAACACTATTACTAGCCCGAATAAAATTAAGTATTTTTACACCTTCCAAAATGTCTTAACATTTTTCTCTGTCTTATATAGCCGTTGAGTGCTTAAAAATTTTGTAATTCAATACAATATGCTTGCGCCCGCTTCTCTGCAGTGCAGCCACGTGTCTAGTGACATGAGATTGTGGCCGTTGGTGGCGAACGAGAAAGTCTGTATATCCGGCTCGTTGAAAGCCATGCGTTATTAATTTTCTGATTGCGAATTTGAGATATTGTGTCATTAAGAAAAAAAAAGTAAAAGTAAAATAAGTTTGATGTTATTATTACTTTGAGAGCAAACAATAATAGTCGTACGTCGATCGAAGTAAAAGAACTGGAGGCAAGAGCGTTCTTTACTTTCGATTTGGCGTGAGGACAATAGATTAGAATGAGTGTTTAAACATTTATAATGAGTTTAAAAGCACGTTTGGTGAAAAAACAAATGGTTCTAAAGGCGTGAGGACAATAGATTAGAATGAGTTTTTATACATTTATAATGAGTTTAAATGAACGTTTTGTGAAAAAAAAGGTTCTAAAAACCAAACTGACTAAGCTAAACCAGAAGTTAGCAGATCCTAGTTGTTATGACTTTAATTGAAGAAAAGCTTAAAATCAGATTCTAAAACTATTTTCGAAACCATTTACAGTACAAAGTCCGAGATCCGGACATTTCGGGACTTCGGCGATTCCGGATTTGGGATTTTTCCGGATATTAGATCATCTGCTTAAATCAAGTAAGATGGCATGTAGAAATTATAAAATTCAAAATATTAAATCGTGATTTACGAAATAAGGAAGCACTTATGATCTAAAGGGTAATAAAATTTACAAAAAAAACTTAACATTTATCGTTTTTGTTGCTTTCCTCATGGCAAGGATCGCTAGATTACGCCAGTTGTCGGAAACAGTCTTGAGCACCATTCAGATGACTGTGCGATTTTGCTCAGTTCCGCCCCCAATTTTGATGGATAGCACTTCGGTGGAGGGGGTCCGAGGGTCTCCCAACCCTCTCTCTTTCTACACAAGAGGACTTTCGGAACGCCGCATATTTCAGGTGCCGCCATGCCGCACCGATACTATACATTAATAAAGATCCATGCCTTCTGCAGGATTCGAACCCGGGCCCTTCGGCACAGCAGTCAGCGACGCTAACCATTATACCGGTTGGACGACTAACATTTATTTGTTTACATGATTAAACATTTTTTCCAATGTAAGTTATTTAAGTTGTTTCGTTTTTGTGTTAATACTTTCTCTTTAATTCAGACATAATTTCTTGTTCAGTTACAAAGTTCTACCGTTCAAGTCCTGTAATTGATGTGTTGAGAATTCCGATTAACTTGTCAATCGAAATTTTTTCGTTTTCAGTAACCTCTCTGTCACTTCCATCACTATCGGTAACGGTATTTTCTGGATATAAAACGAACTACAGACTTCGCTATCCGTTAATTGATTGATTAACTGGGGTATTGTCATCGCAATGAAAAAAACTTATGTTACATCATCTTTATTTATTACCGCTTCTTCACATTTCTGTACAAAATCCATTAATTGGAAAATTTCACCTTGGTTTGCGATATTCGAAAACCTTCAAATTCATAGCTATCATCTTCATCATCCTCACCATGATATATGGTAGCTGGCAATTAGTTATGACAAGCATTTTTAAAGTATCTGGAGTTACATACACCCACGATCTTGCGATGCTCTACACAACGGATTTTATGATAAAATGTTTCAAATATTCTTGTATAGTCTTGCCATTATTCAAGAAATTTAACATTAATTTTAAAAATGCTACAAGTACTTTATATTTGCATTTCAGTGCTCGCACTGTTCCGATATTCCTAATATCCTAGCCTGAATGATGGACGCATAATTTTAAGGAAATAATAATACGGATACATTCATAGCTATCATCTATTCAAATTCATAGCTATCATCTTCATATCCTCACCATGATATATGGTAGCTGGCCATTAATTATGACAAGCATATTTCATTAAAACTTTAAGTGGAGTATGAGCCGAACACTTGTTTACAATCAGGGCAGTTTTTGCATCATCAGGTAAAAGAACCGAATTCAAATATTGCAGAGCCTCGGGTATAAAATGATTTTCAAACCCAATCATTCATTAATACTTGTGTTGTCCAGGCTGTTTTTATTTGCACAATATATAACAGGAAACATCTTCACTCCTTTAAATGCTCGAGGTTGTGCATTTTTTACGATTGCGGAAAGTTTACACTTGTGTTTTCTTGCAGCATTTTCACATGTTAAAATTGTTGGTCTCGCTTTGGAATCTTTGACACCAGTTGGAGCCTTTTTTGTAGAGGTTGCCAAGGTATTTCGCGGTACATATTTCCAGAAAAGACCAGTTTCATCAGCGTTTTAAATTAGTTCTGGAGATAACTTTTCATTATTAATGAGTTCAATTAATTAATCTGAAAATTATTCAGCAGCTTCAGTATCAGTTGAAGCGTTTTCAACCGAAATTTTCAATTACTATTACCATGGAGATTTTTAAATTTGATTAACCAGCCTGTCGAATATCTGCATTCAGTTTTTAAGTTCATTTCTTCATGAAATATTTTGGCTTGAGCCATTAGCATTGGTCAATGGCATGCCCTCGTCAATGGTCGTTGTGACGCTGTCTGATCCATTCAATCATTAGTTTTTCATGATCGTCACTTTTAGCATAAGGAATAATTTTCCCGTTATTCATTGTGAGTGAGGTGTCGGAATTCACAAAATCTTTAAAAAGTTCCTTTTTCTGTTGTCTTATGTCGGATAGAATTCATTTTTCAGTGCCATAATCCTCGCATAATGTTGAGACGGATATACCTTTACACATTTTTTACAGCAATTCTATTTTTTTGTTTAATGGACATCGAAACTTGCTTGCTCTTTGTAGATCCTATACTATTTAAGTTCTTTGTATATCTATAATGTTCTTTGTACAGCTATACTCTTTTCCACATAATCGAAAGTTCAAACTTTAATTTTCATAAAATTGCTGCAATAATAACAGCCTGCACAAAACAATAAGTTGGATCAAATCAGAAAGTTAAGGAACGCGCAATCTGCTATATTAACAGAAATTCCTTGGAATTAGTAAAGTATAATTCTAGTCTAGCTTAATAGCGTCCGTTTATCATAAGATTGGTAACGAAAGACAAGCTGTTCCGTTAAATTTTGCCTTGCTTCTGTTGCGGCCTGAGACATTTTAGCCTAGTTATTTATTATACTTACGTCTATTTCTTGCACATACTTAAGGCTTATTTGAGTCTTGAATAAACAAATTCCCATATATACTACTTAAGGCTTATCGAGAGTCGGTGCTAGATATCTTGCCTTCTAATGCAGTCTCCTGCGGGTTCTAAATTCTGATATCAAGTTCTAA